CATACAGCTCTTTTTATAACAATTATAACATTCTACTGAGTTGGCCACAACTAGTCCTTGAGGGAGTCTATTCCATATTTTCACAGCTCTTAAAAGAGAAGGGGTTTTGTTTTTTTTGCCCAGTATACTTACCTAGTCGGATGCAACATCTACTGGCTCTAGTGTGAGAACTCAGCGATCGCATGACTGCTGATCACTGAGTTCTCAGATGCCACTCCAGACTCTGGGGTGCATCTTGACTTTAGAGTTGAGATCTTTCCCCAGGCTGGACCAGCTAAGTGACATCAGCCAACAGCGGGCTTCAGCCCGCTGTCAGCTGAAAACGGATCACAGGAGTGCAGAACAAACTGTACTCCTGTGATCCACAGGACAAGTACAGCCAGTAAGAGTTTTGTTGTGAAGAAGCCTTTCTGTATGTGAAGGGTAGCTCTTTTTCCTCCAGATGTAAAGAGTACCCAATGTCCCCTGTAATGACCTAAAACCAACACCAAGTTCACTATATGGACCACCAATTTATTTATACATGGTGATCATATTCCCCCTTAATTGCCTTTTCTCAGGAGAGAATAAATTCAGTTAAGCCAATCTTTTCCTCATAGTTGAGCTCTGCCATGCCTCTTATTGGTATGCTTGCTTTTCTCTTCACCGTCTGATAGACGTGTAAAACTAAACTATTTCAGATGAGGTCTTACTAATGATTGATACAGGGGCAAAATGATATCTCTCTCTCTGGAGTCTAAACCTCTTTTAATACATGAAAGTATTTTGCTTACTTTAGAAACCGCAGCTTGGCATTGCATGCCATTATTAAGCTTATGATCTACCAGAACTCCCAGATCCTTCTCCACCATTGACTCCTTCAACTGTTCATATTTTTAGTCTCCAAGTACATAACTTTACATTTATCAACATTAAGCCTCTTTTGCCACATAGTTGCCCAATTAAATAGTGCATTAAGGCTTGCTTGTAAGTTGGCGATATCCTGTAAGGACGTTATTCCACTACATAGCTTGGTGTCATCTGCAAACACTGAATTGGTACCTTAAATCTCAGACACTATATCATTTATAAAAATGTTAAAAGGTCCCAACACTAAACCTTTGGTTTTGGTCTGCTTTGTATCCATGTACAAACCAATTTGGTGACAAACAAAGTAAATTTCACTATCCATAGGCATCGCTTTAAAAGCCTTTACAGGTTACCACTTTAGATTTACAGAGAAGGTCTGGTACTAGAATTATTGACCATGAGCTGAAGTTCATGGTGATACCTCACATGTGTAGGTCGATTGCTGTTTGCACACGTGTAGTCCCACACACGTGCATTCACCTTTGAACGCGAACACGGAGGGGAGCACTTTCACTTTTTAAAAAAATTATTAATTAATACATTTTTGAAAACTGTTGCTTTAAATTTTTTTTATCATATTTATTGCTGTCAAAAGGAAAGTAAACATCTTTGTGACAGCAATAGGCACGTGACAGGTACTGTTTATGGAAGGATCAGGGGTCTATAAGACCCCAAATCCCTCCTGTGCACTTAAAAGCATTCAAAACACCAGTATTGGTGTTTTAAAATGCTTTTGAGTTTTTAAAAGTGGTGCAGTTGACATTTGTGTAAACAGGATAAACGCGCCGTCTGGTCATTGTAGTCTCCCGCTGCGATGGGAGATCCAGAACAAACAGTGGAAGTTGGTGAGGGCAGGAGTCCCCTCTCATTGCTTGTAATAGTGATCAAGATAGCTGCTCTGATTGCTATTACAAGAGAGCTGACCACAAGCTCTGAAACATGGCATTAGGGTGATGCCTGCAGCTGCAGGCATCACCTCGGTACAGCCACTAGAAGACCGGTGAAGTATTAGATATGTGACTGGTTGGCATATTGTTTTCTAGAAAAACATCTTTGTAGTCTTCCAGTCAACTTCCCAGTTGCTTCTCAACTATTGAAGTAAAAACTAAACACACATCCTATGATGAATTCAATCCGACAAAATGCATCAGCTAGTGATGTCAGGCATAAACCAGAAGTTTAGCGGTGGCCATTTTGGAAAAGGTCTTGTATGCTAGCATTCATCTTCACATTGTAAGTGGTTTTTTAGCAATTAAAAAGTTTAATTTTATATACTGCTACACTATGTTGGCTTAAAGAAAGTGGTCCTTGGAGATCATACATGCTGGGTTTTATGTGAATTTGGTAAGGTGCATGATCTGAAGGGTGAGAAGTGTGGCGCACTAGAAGAATGGTACGCATGTTTTGGGTGATTGAATCACATATAGAATGTGAGTGTATTTACGTGGAGGCACTTATTTTATTGATATAAATTGCTACACTATATGAGTATTTTTCTTTTTGGGAGTCCATTCGGTGAGGAGATCAACAAGTAAAGAACAGTGAAAGGATAATATGCATAAATTATATAATTGTTTGGATTGCAGGTAAGGACAGAGGTGGTGGACATATGGTGGAGATAAGTTTGGCACATTAATATAATTTTTAAGTGAGCATTATTATTTGATTTTGTTAGTTAATTTACTAGAGGAGATTACACTATATGCGATTTACATATTTTTTACATTGTGGCAGAGAGACACGTTGGAGTCAAATTGGATATCTACATATAGGAGAGGATACAAGTGGACTGAAGGGCTTGATTAGCTTCATCATCTGGTGAGAGCATGAGGAGAATATAACAAGTTCATCATGGAATTTTTCATGTGACTTTGGAAATTAACTTTTAAAATTTGTGGACAATACTAGAAGTACTGGTATCCATATAATATGAAAACTAACTGCTCTTTATTTGCTTGGTAAAGACTTTGACCCCATTTTAAATATAGCCACCAAATTGGCCTTATGCCAGTCTAGTGTTACCAAGCCAATCATTAAACAGTCTCTAAAAATTAGAAACAATGGCTTTGAAATAGCAGAGCTCAACTCTTTGAGGACACAAGGGTGTGAGCCATCTGGTCCAGGTACTTTTTTCACCTTTATTTGGTTTAAACGTTTTTTCGGATCATATCAGTTTTGAGCCATTGTGTATTTGGGGCTATGTTAATGCTATCTGCACTATGGGCTTGAGCCCCCAATTTCCTTTGTATACATAGAGCTATTTAATAACTTTACCTTCTCTTTGCAAAAAATGGCCTACATGCTCAGATCTGACCTTTTTTATATATTATAAGAATTTTGGGGGGTTTGTCCTACTCTCTTTTGAAATCAGTTATTTGTTTGGAATTTTTGCTGCCTTGATTTCCTTTTTTCTGTTATAGTCTTTGCAACCTTTAAATTCATTTTTGTATTTGGAAATACATTTTTTCCCCTATTATTTATAGATTTTTAACTTGAGCACGAGCCACTTAGCTTTTATTTTTAGCTTTTTAAACTTATTGCCCATGGGAATATAGTTTGCATATAGATGATTTGAAGCATTCTTCTTCCATTAAGCGAGAATATATCTCCTATGTAGTTGAACCCTGGGGCCATTTAAACTTCGCAGTCTCTGGTCATCTCCTGTACTACGTCCGCAGTCTCTGGTCATCTCCTGTACTATGTCCGCAGTCTCTGGTCATCTCCTGTACTATGTCCGCAGTCTCTGGTCATCTCCTGTACTATGTCCGCAGTCTCTGGTCATCTCCTGTACTATGTCTTGTTATTTTAGACCCTGGAAGAAAACATTTAATATCAGGACTGTACTTAATCTGTCATATTTTACAATTGAGAGGCATTGCTTATCCCTTTTATTCTCCATATTTGTTTATTAATAAGAAACTATAAGGTACAGGTACAGCTTCTGCACAACTTAAGGGGAATGCAACAGCTAAATAGAATGATGTAGAGGAGTTCTTAACTTAAACTAATGATCTTCCCTTCATAACACTGAGAGTTTTAGGATTATGTGAACAATCAGTGTTACTGGTGTCTAGCTAAAGCTTCAAAAATTACTTTTGGATGGGCTCACCCTTTAAGTTTGTGTTAATAGCACTCTTTACATTCTTGATCAGGTTTTACTCAGGCACTTTTTTAAAACTACAGTACAAGAATTGGTTAAAGATCTAAAGCAACTGCTAAATGCAAATAGTTTTCTAAGTATATTACACAAAACCTACTTTTACTCTGAATTGGCACTTTTTCAAAAGGGGTTTGTTTTAAACACTTTTCCTAAATCTAAACCTAACTAAGCTTAAATTTACTCCCACCCCCATTCTAAGTCTATTCTATCTACCCTGTAAAAGTAAAGATGCCTATATTTGCCTATTCTGAAATTTCTCCAGTCTGGACACTTGACCGGCTTCCACCACTGGCTTCAGTGTAGAGGAGGGACAGGTGACAACAGACGCCCCATAGTAAGCCTATGGGTGACATCATTGCTCTGGCTTTGCAGCCATTGTTGATGATCTCTCCTTAACACATACTGGAGATCATGTGATCAGACCAGAGCGACTTCATAATAGTTATAGGCATATTTCTTTTACAGGGTAGATAGAATAGGCTTATTGGGTTTTGACTTGCCTTCCACTTTAACTGCCTCCCGCCCACCATATAAGGAAATGACGGGTGGGCGGCTGTTCTCTCATTCTGAGAGGATGTCATATGACATCCTCCTACTCTAACTGCTCATGCGCTCCCCCGGGGGCATGCGGCGTGGAAATCAGGGGCAGCAGATCACCGATCAGAGTAAAGAGCCGATGACGTCGGCTCTGTCATGTGATCAGCTGTGTCCATTCACAGATGATCGCATGTAAACAAGGAAATGCCAGTTATCGGCAGTCCTCTCCTCACGCTGACAGCGCATGAGGAGAGGAGAGTCGGTAAGTGGCATTCCTCAGTGCAGACATCTACACTGATCATCAAGGCACTTATCATCAGTGCCCTGATGATCATTGTAATCCCATCAGTGCCACCTGTCAGTGCCCATCAATGCCACCTGTAAGTGCACATCAATGCCACATCCCAGTGTCCATCAGAGCCGCCTTTCAGTGCCAACTATCAGTGCCAGTCAGTGTTGCCTATCAGTGCCACCAATCAGTGCCAGTCAGTGCCGCCTATCAGTGCCAGTTAGTGCCAACTATTAGTGCCAGTCAGCACCACCTATAAGTGCCAGTCAGTGCCGCCTATCAATGCCCATCAGTACCACCAATCAGTGCCGCCTAACAGTTCCAATCAGTGCTCCTAACAGTGCCAATCAGTGCAGCCTATCAGTGCCAGTTAGTGTTATCAGTGCCAGTCAGTGTTGCCTATCAGTGCCACCAATCAGTGCCAGTCAGCACCGCCTATAAGTGCCAGTCAGCACCGCCTATAAGTGCCAGTCAGTGCTGCCTATCAATGCCCATCAGTACCACCTATCAGTGCCCATCAGTGCCACCTAACAGTTCCAATCAGTGCCGCCTAACAGTTCCAATCAGTGCTGCCTAACAGTGCCAGTCAGTGTCGCCTATCAGTGCCAGTCAGTGCCGCCTATCAGTGCCATATTTAAGTGCTGCCTTTCAATGCCCACAAGTGATGCCTGTTAATGCCCATCAGTGCCACCTACCAGTTCCTCCTCATCAGTGCTACCTATCAGTGCCCATCAGTGCAGCCTATCAGTGCCCATCACTGCAGCCTCATTAACGCACATCAGTGAAGGAGAAAAATTACTTATTTACAGCATTTTATAACAGAAGCTAAGAAAAATTTTTTTTTTCAAAATTTTCAGTCTTTTTTAGTTTGTTTAGCAAAAAAAAAAAACCCAGTGGTGGTTAAATACCGCTAAAAGAAAGCTCTAGCTGTCTAAAAAAAAAAGATAAAAATTTTGTTTGTGTACAGTGTTGCATGACAGTGCAATTGTTATTCAAAGTGCGACAACGCTGAAAGCTGAAAATTGGCCTGGGCAAGAAGGTGGTAAAAGTACCCAGTAGGCAAGTGGTTTAATATTCTATTTCATATGTTATACTTTTTATTGTAATTATTTGTGTATGTAACCTTTTGTTTAAATAAAAATGATGGAGCGATATATACATACCAACCATCAATCAAATTTCAGCACACTCTGTAGTGAATGTATGAAGCTGGATAGCACTGACTACTAGCTGTCAAAATCAATAGCATAATGGATGTTTTAACTTTATACATTTCTATCGGTTTTACAGCATCTTACACCAGAGAAATAAATAATATATATAGATTTTAGCTTTAAAAAAAGCAAGACTGATAGATATTTGAGATGCCCTTTAAACAGAGATTGTGTCACTTTGGAGTCTATATTTTAGACCGTTGAGCATGGAAAAGTACAATTTATATCCAATCAATAGGACATACATTTAGCCAGACATTTTATTTCTGAAACAAGGCATAAATTAGGTAAACTGAGATTTTTTTCCCCCTGTGCATCTGGTACTTGTCACTCTTTCAATAGGCAAGGTAATTGGTTAAATGAACCATTTATGTTGCCTCATATGATTCATCATTAATGGCTCATTTGACGTATGTTCCAAACTCACTTTAATATCTCTGTATGCTGCATTTGTATAGACACTGGCGCATGTTTCAGGAGAGAATTTCCATAATCTGTTCCAGCTGCACTCCTTAGATTCCCCATTTGTTAAGTCTTCTGCTTTGAGTAGGCCCATGTAATCTAAATATAGGTTGTTTTCAAGTTCCTACAGTTGTTTACTTACTTAATGCAGAAAGCATTAAATATATATGTTGCATAAAATACAACAATTAAAAAAAGTTTGCAAGCCCTACCTCTGTCTTGTAGGTAATACAGCACCAAGCAGGTACATAAAGATAAAGGCTTTAAAGGATGAGTTAACCTTTGGGAACATGTTTCATATTCCACCCATTTTTAGAGTGGAATATGTAACATGTTCCCACTGCTGCAGCCGCATCCCATTGTCCTCTGTCCCTGTGACAGCATTACGGGCTTAGTAAATGAGGTACAACTTCACTTTGCAAAGAATACCCAATCACATGCAGGCAAAATAAAAAAAAAAACAGCATTTGTGCTTGCATGTGATTGGATGATGGAAGTCAGTAGAGCATGTGCTCATTTACTAAGTTCTGGAGCAACTGCTCTTGCAGAGTGCAATTGCACTTTGCAGTCTATATGCCTTTAGTAAATCAACCCCAATGTGTGCTGCCACTTTTGCGTTACTGCAAAGAGATGGTGATAATGAATTCAAACTATGATAGAAACAAAATGTAGTTTATAGATAAGAATTGTGGTTAAAATCAAATCAATATCTCAAAAGGCAAGATATGTATTTTCTTACATATATTGTATTAAAACGAAGAGTACTATAGATTATGCAAACAGTACAGGATATAATGGGGCCCTCATTTGGCCATTTTTCCAGTGTCTGTACTTTATTGCAATTAAACCTATAAAAATTCTGATTCCCTGGACGTGTAAATATGTTATGTAAAGGTTTTTGGTTTCTGTGTAGTGAATGTTCATTAGGTCCTAAACAGGGTGAATAGCTCAATCACTGTTTCTCATAGAATAACAAATATTGGTGAATATTGGTGACTGTTGGTTGACTCAGTGGATATCAAGACAAATCATATATTGGAGATATCATAGGTATATGGAGAATGTCCATGAAATGTATTGAGAATGTAGCACTACCCCCTTGTTTGATTTTTGGCCCCCTATAGTCCTGCACAGTCAGGCAATCTGCATTCTCAACACCAGCTTGCATCTAAAGTTAAGAATCAGTCCTTGAGCTTTGTCTTTAAGGTTTATTTAAAGGAATTTAGAACTGGGATAGGATAAGGGGGTGGGGGGATAAGATACTTAAGGGAACCGACAACTGAGGACAAACTTCCTGGAAGTATTTACAAGCTTTTTCTGCAGCATAGTCTCTGTTGGAGAGCTAGCCAGCATCTCCTTCATGTACCACCCCAGACCCTAGATGAACTTCTCCTCTTCACCCAGCAATCTGGAGTTATCCCTAAGCAGGGGATCTGGCTGGATGATAGAAGTCAACGTTGCTTCACCTCATTCACTAAGCCAAAGAAATATTCCTTTTGAAAGTGAAACAGGCTCTACTTCTTGTATAGGAGTCGAACCCCTTCGTGTATTGCATTGTATTGTTACTGTACTGTCTTGTGTACTGTCTCTCATTATAATGTACAGCGCTGAGCAAACCGTTGGCGCTTTAGAAATACTGTATAATAATAATAATAATAGGAGGGACAGGTAGGGTAGAAGAGGGGGAGGGGTGAGCCTGTATATCAAGAATGATTTGACAGTGACAGTGAGGGACAACATAGCTAATGGGGCAAGGGAGTAGGTGGAAACCTTGTAGCTGGAGTTTCAAAGGTAAGAAACAAATGGGAAATTAATAGTGGGCTTATGCTACAAGCCCCCTAACTTGAAGGATGAGGAGGAGTCTGACCTCCTGTCATGGTTAGAAATGGTGAGGCAAATTTATCATAATGGGGGATTTAAATTTTCCAGATATTGACTGGGCAGAAGGAACTGCACACTCATTTAAGGCTAGCCATTTTTTAAATGTTTTGCAGGGCAACTTCATGGGTCAATTAATGGCTGTAGAATTACAGGACAACGTAAGAAACATTGATCACAGTGTAATTACATTCAACTCAATTCATAGTGAAAAGAGGCAAGAGGGTAGTACAAGAACACTATATTTCAAAAGAACCAACTTCTCTATGCTTCGCTCCTTACTACAAGATATTAGATAGGATCAAATTCTAGAGACATTGAACACTAAGGAAAAATGGGAGTGCTTTAAGAACATATTAATTATGGTATTAGGCAGTGCATTCCAATGGGCAACAAATATAAAAGAGATAAGATTAAACCTGGGTGGCTAAACATTAATGTAATAAGATTTATAAAAAGAGAAAAAATGGCCTTAAAAAAGAAAACTGCCGAGGGGTCATTGTCAAAATTCCAATGCTACAAAGACTGCAACAAGAACTGCACGTTCAGAGAAACTAAAATAGACTATGAGAGGCACATAGCAGACGCAAGTAAAACAATTGTAAAAAAATGTAAGTATATTAATAGTAAGCATGAAAGGTCAGAGCATATAGGTCCCATAAAAAATGATCATGGGAATTTGGTTACAAATGAAAAGGAGAAAGCAACTATTCTAAATTAATTCTTCTTAGTTTTTACAAAGGAAAATGAGGGGTATAGTAACCAAGACTGGAGTGTTAAAAATACATCACATAATATACTTTTGTGGCCTACAGAAACCAGTGTCCAAAAAAGACTTGAAACACTGAATGCAGATAAATCACCAGGACCAGATGGCTTACACTCGAGAGTCCTCAAAAAACATATCCAGGTAATAGCCAGACCATTATTTATATTTTTTATGGACAGCTTAAGAACTGGAATGATACCAGTTGATTGACATAAGGCCAACTTGGTACCAATATTCAAAACAGGTCAGAGATATATACCTGGAAACTACAGGCCAGTCAGTCAATAGTATGTAAACTATTGGAGGGGATGGTAAGTGACTATATCCAAGAATTTGCAAATGAAAATAGTCATGAAACCAGTAACATTAGTAATAATCAGCATGGATTTGTGAAAGATCATTCTTACAAGACCAATCTGCTAACATTCTATGAGAAAGTGAGCTACCATCTAGATAAAGGAAGGCCTGTAGATGTGGTGTATCTGGATTTCATAAAGTTCCCCATAAATACTTAGTTCAAAAAAACTCAGGTATGCTGGCTTAGACCATAGGGTATGTACCTGGATAAAAAAATGGTTATAGGGGTGCGTCCAAAAGGTAGTGATAAATAGTGTGAATTGTCTGTCATGGTATCTGGGGTACCCTAGGTCTCTGTTTTTCAACCAATTCTGTTAAATTAATTCATAAATGATATAGCGGTTGGTATAAATAGCTCAATCTCAGTGTTTGCTGACAATACAGAGCTAAATAGGGCACTTACTTTTCAGCAATATATAGAAACCATACAAGAAGACCTCAATAAAATAAATGGATGGGCAACTACATGAAAAAATGAGGTTTAATGTTGAGAAATGTAAAATAATGCACTGCGGGGCCAAAAACATGAATGCAAGTTACTCGCTAGGGTGAGAATCTTTAAGGAATCCAGAATGGAAAATCTGGGGGTCCTAGTAGATCACAAGCTCAGCAATGGTATGCCATGTCAAACTGCAGCAAGCAAAGCAAGCAGAATATTAGCATGGACAATTTTACCACTTTACAAGACTCTGTTCCTGCTACATCTTGAATATGTCATTCAGTTCTGATCACCAGCCCTCAGGAAGAATGTGCTGGAACAGGAGAAAGTCCAGAGAATGGCAACAAAGATAATAAGGGGACTGGATGACCTCAGTTATGAAGAAAGCCTGCAAGCATTAAACTTAATCTCCCTGAGAAGAGACACTTGAGAGGAGATATGGTATAGATATACAAATACCTCAGTGGTGATTCTAGCAGAGTGAGGAAACTATTCAGTTTCAGGGAGCTTAAGTAGACACATGGCCACTTAATGAAATTTGAGGAGAAGGGATTCAACCTTAAAATGCATAGGGGGTTCTTTACTGTTGGCGTGGTAAGGGTGAGGAACATCCTTCCACAATCAGTGGTGTCAGTAGAAAGTGTTGATAATTAAAAAAAGTTAGTGAATGCCATATCGGCAAAATGCAATATAAAGTTTG